GAGAGAGAGAGAGAGAGAGAGAGAGAGAGAGAGAGAGAGCGCAGAGAGAGAGCAGAGAAAACAAAGGGAGAGAGTGCAGAGAGAGAGAGAGAGTGCAAAGAGCAGAGAAAACAAAGAGAGAGAGAGAGCAGAGAGAGACAGAGAGAGAACGAGAAAGAGAGAGAGAGAGAGAGAGAGAACAGAGACAGAGAGAGAGAAAGAGAGAGAGAGAGAGAGCAGAGAGAACAGAGACAGAGAGAGAAAGAGAAAGAGAGAGAGAGAGCAGAGAGAACAGAGACAGAGAGAGAGAACAGAGAGAATGAGAGAGAACAGACAGAGAGAAAGAGATAACAGAGAGAAAGAGAGAACGGAGAGAGAGAGAGCAGAGAGAACAGACAAAGAAGAGAGAGAGCAGAGAGAGATGAGAAAGAGAGGAAGAACACAGAGAGAAAACATACAGAGATAAAATAGAGAAAACAGTGGGATAAAGAGCGAGAGAAAGAAAGAAAGGAGAGAGTGAGAGAGAGCCAAAGGAAAGAGAGAAGGAGGAAGAAAAAAGAAAGAGGGACAGGTTCAAGAGAATCAGAATGAGGAGAAGTGTGTATATATAAACACAGAGACAGAACAGAGAAAGAGAGAGAGAGAGAGAGAGAGAGAGAGAGAGGGAGAACGGTGAGATAAAGAGCGAGAGAAAGAAAGAAAGGAAGGAGTGGGAGAGCGAAAGGAGAGAGAAAGAGAGAAAGAAATGAAAGAAAAGAGATAGAGAAGACAAAAGAAAAAGAAAAAGGAAGTAAAGAGAGAGCAAAGAAAGAGAGGAAGAAAGGGGTCAAGAGAAGGGGGGATATATATAAGTATACAGAGAGAGCAAGGAAAGACGAAGGAGACAGGCTGAAAGAGATAAAGGAGGGGGGAGGAGGCCAATCTGTCATCCCTCTCTCTGGGGACTGTGTAGATGGTGTAGATGGTGAGCGTCTAGAACACACAGCTCCCCACCCCCAACACTCCCCCATCACCCAACACTCCCCCAACACACACCTAACACACCACATAGCCGCTCTGCTGCACCTCCACCTCCGCACACCGCAGTCTGGGTTCTGCCGGAGACACAGCCGGTAGCTCTGAATGTTGTTTTAACACTTTAAAGCAGCAGCCGGTCAGAAATAACCATCACACAGTTCTCCACCTGAACCAGCCGGCCAATCAGTCGAGACACGATGCGTCTCCTTTAGTTACAACCGGAGCTACGAGGCTAACGTTGCTAACAAACACTAGAAGTCAATAGTCACCCAGTTCTTTTTTTCGCAAATACATTCCCTAGACAATCTGGGTCTTCATTAAAGTCATACAGTCTTGTGGATGTGGCTCGGAGGACAATGTGACTGTGAACTATAAACACAAACAATACTTATATAACGTGTAGCCAAACGCTGAGGGCAGCCACTTTAGACGACAGGGTCTCCCTTACAAAAGAGAAGTTTTATTAGTAAACCTCTTTTAAACTAAACAGTAAGTGAGCTTTCAGCTTACTTTTTATGTAGTTATCAGAGATTTACTGAACAAAATTATACCTAAGTATACTTGGCTTATACGGACAAGTGTGTAGTATAGTATGTCCAAGTATATTTGGCCTATTTTATTTATATTAGAAATTTTTTTTATTTGCATGTCTTGTGAATTTTTATATGTGTGGTCCACCGGTAGTGTTCACATTAACAGTACTTGACTTGAAGTCAACTAAAGGTATATTTTAAGTATTAAAAAATAATACCTAGATAGAAATATAGTAGTGCACTTTAAAGTGTAAAAATAATATATCGCTGTTGTTGGAAGAAAAGCTCGTTTCTCCAAAATGGTAACTTTACAGGAGAAGGAAAAAACACACTTTACTTTTAATGTAAGTCAATGGAACCAGACTTTTTTCCCAAGTCATTTTGGGTCGTTTCTTTTGGTCCATTCACCATGAAATTTGCACACAGGACAAGGGACAACGGGTATTTTCAAATTAGGTCAAAAACTGAAAAACCACAAAAATGGAGATATGAGGTGTTCAGCAGCGATATAAGTAATAAACTATAAATATAACGTTTAATATATATGAAACGTAATTTCATTTAAAGAAGACCTACAAGCATAACTGCAATATGTAAACTATTAAACTGGTAGTTTACTTTAAAGTATACTTAAAAGTTTACTACTACTTTACTAGCATATAACTAGTAAATGAACCATGTACCTATAAGTTCACTATTAGTGTAGTCCACTTTTAGTGTAGTTCACTTTTAGTGTAGTTGCAGTACAAAATAAAACATATGTAAACTAGTTCGGCACTCAAGGTTTACAACTCTTACAACTATAAAAAAGAACATAAGTATACTTATATAAACTAAAGAGTGGCCCAATTTAGTCCCAAAAAGTACTGAAATAGTACACTTAAAAGTATACTAATGGTACATTGATACTAGTATACTTAGTATATGAGGTATACTTGGGAAATATACTTCAACTTTACTTAATTTTGCTTAATAAAATGAACTTTAAGTATACTTTTTTCCTCAGGGCTGTCTCAGCAAGGCACCCAGTCATGTCCGAAACTACTGTTTGTTTAATACGCTGCTGCTGAGGTTCCTCAGTTTGGCCAGTGATGTTTTGTTCATTTTTATAGCTTAAGTGAGTCACAGTGAGCCCTAAACCACATTTACAAGTCTGTACAACTGCAATGAAGACCTGGATGTGGTTTAAGCTGACTGAGAGAAGTTTTGAGGGATATTTTTTTTGGAAAATGATTTGGGCTTTTTGAGTTCTGGTGTTTGTTAGCAATATTAGCCTCACAGCATCAGCGCTAAACAGATTTTTCCTACAAAATAACAGTTTAGCAAGTTCAGCAAGGCACCCAGTCATGTTCGAATCTACCGTTTGTATAAAACACTGGTGCTGAGGTTCCTCAGTTTGGCCGTTTTTTGAAGGCAAGCCATCGAATCAGTATTTGTGGCGTCACACAGAGGAAATCAGTCCTGCTTTGTTGTCCCTGGTGTTGTCTGAAATGGCTGCCCAGTAAAGTTCTGTTCATTTTTATAGGTGATAGTCAGTCACAGTGAGTCCTAAACCACATTTACAAGTGTGAACAACCTCAAAAAAGACCTGGATGTGGTTTCAGCTGTTCGAGAGAAGCTCTGAGGGAAATATTTTTTGGAAATGATTTGAGTTTTTGAGTTCTGGTGTTTGTTAGCAACATTAGCTTCACAGCATCAGCGCTAAACAGATTTTTTCCTACAAGATAACAGTTTAGCACAACGGTCAAATCTGCAAAGCTTCCCGTTGAGCCGAAATGCAATGTATCAGCCATGTTTGGTGTCTGAAGTTGTTTCTTTAGCTTTGTAGCTATGAGGCTAATGTAGCTAACAAGCAGAAGTGGAAAAGGTAGAGAAGCTAAAGAGCTAAAAACATTAACCGCAGCCATCCTGAAGCCTGAGCTCTGTCCGTATAGGTGCACTTTGTAGTTCTACAGTTACAGACTGTAGTCCATCTGTTTCTCTGATACTTTGTTAGCCCCCTTTTGCCCTGTTCTTCAGTGGTCAGGACCCCCATGGACCCTCACAGAGCAGGTACTATTTGGGTGGTGGATCATTCTCAGCACTGCAGTAACACTGACGTGGTGGTGGTGTGTTAGTGTGTGTTGCGCTGATCTGAGTGGATCAGACACAGCAGTGCTGCTGGACTGAGAACACCTCAGTGTCGCTGCTGGACTGAGAACCAAAAGCATCCAGCCAGCAGCACCCTGACTGATGTACAGCAACAAAAGGGGTTCTGCTACTGTTACAAGCTTGGCATCATCACAATAGCGGAACCCTTTTTGGCGCTACACAGAACCATTTTCAAAAAGGTTCTATATAGAACCACATACAACATACTTTTTCATCAATCTGAAGAAGCACTTCATCATGCAAAGAACCTTTTAGGCATGAAATGGTCCTGTGTAGAACTCATGGTCCTAGATAGAACTATTCACAAGCTTAAATCGATATTTGCATGGTGAAATGGTTCTTGAAACTGATGAAGAATTGTTGTATATGGTTCTTTATAGCACCAAAAGGGGTTCTTTTGTTGTTACAAGCTTTACATTGTCGCAACAACAGAACCTTTTTTGGTGCCATATAGAACCATTTTCAAAAAGGTTCTATATAGAACCACATACAACACACTTTTTCATCAATCTAAAGAACCACAAGAAATGGTTCTTGACATTGATGGAGAATGTGTTGTATATGGTTCTTTATAGCACAAAAAAAGTTTCTTTTGTTGTTACAAGCTTTACATCATTGCAACAACAGAACCATTTTTGGTGCCATATTCACCATTTTCAAAAAGGTTCTATATAGAACCACATACAACGCACTTTCAATCAATCTCAATAACCACCATGCAGAGAACCCATTAAACATGCAAAGGGTCCTATGTAAAACTCATGGTTCTAGAGAGAACCCTTTGCATGCTTAAAAGGTTATTTGCATGGTCAAAGCGTTCTTTAGATTGATAGAGAATGTGTTGTATATGGTTCTATATAGCACCAAAAAGGGTTCTTCTACTGTTACAAGCTTGACACTGTAACAACAGCAGAACTCTTTTGGTGCTATACAGAACCATTTTCAAAAAGGTTCTACGTAGAACCACAAACAACACACTTTCAATCAATCTGAAGGACCATTTCACCATGCAGAGAACCCTTTAAGCATGAAATGGTCCAATGGATGACGCATGGTTCTACGTAGAACCATTCATTTTACTAAAGAACCCTTAAAGAACCATCGAGCGTACAACAAAATATCGGGAAAAAATACCAAGCTGCTGCCTTTTGCATCAAAACGGTTCGGTTTATATCGAAAACATTATTAAACATATCGAAATCGTATCATATCGTATCGGTCAGTCCCAGGCCGGCCTATAATGAATGACCCCGGCGTATGGGCAGCCAATCAAGGGCAAGCCGGCTGCCAAATGACTTTAGCCGTAATGAGGTTACTCACTTGTCTGCTTCTTTGTTCGGCGCTGGTCCACCGTCTGTCTTGGTGCACAGAGCCCGGCCGCAGCTCCACAGAGGACGGCCCGCTGCAGCTGGAAGCCGGGCTCTGCGCGCCGCTCCCCCGGCATGGCTGGTGCAGGCGGGTCGCCGCGTCTCATTCCCAGCGAAATCAGACAAGGCACGCTTGAAGCTGGGTCTGCAGAAGTCCTTCAAGACCTGCGAAACCCTGAACTGTAACATTTCAGTCCTGCTTAGATGATCTGATGGAGCTGTTTATGGCAGAACGGGATTATTTGTTTACCTCAACAGCCTGAAGCCCAGTGATGGTTGTGAGACGCTCCTCTGCGATTCAAAGCATAATAGCGCCCAGGAGGCTCCTCATTGGACGAAACAGCCGCTCGTTCACGCCCTTCTCGGATCCCATTGGTCAGCGCGGTGCCTTTACGACGCTGATTGGTGGAGCCGCGCGTCACTCACAGTTAATCCGGACCGCTTTCTCCTTCACAGAGAAATG